AAGTGTTAGAAAGAGAAGAAAGTGTTCTTCATAAAACTTCAAGAAAGAATTCTTAAAATTCCCAAATAAAATTCATAAATATTCCTATACAAGAAAACCGAGTCTTTTCTACTAGCGAAGGAAAGTCGTCGGAACCGGGCTTCATAGGGTGGATACGTTTAGAGGGAAGACACTTGGATTCCTCTAGCGAGTAACCTCAAGTCGTTGAAGTTACAACCGGGAACCGATTCCCTCATCCATCATCAATAGTGATGGAGTTCAAGACATTCGATAAATATTTTTACTAGTATTTACTTTATAGTAACAAATCAAAATTTGTATATGATGCATGTTTTAAAGATGACGATCAGTTAATTCGCAATTAGTATGTACGGGTGTTATATTTATACGATAAATACTTACTTTAAAAATTTTAAATTCCGCTGCGTACAGCCCGTACGGTACTATCGAACCCAACACTTCTTTCCCGGTTGGCCGCACCATGCACGGCCTTCTTTCCCGGTTGGTCGCACCAGACACGGCCTTCTTTCCCGGTTGGCCTCACCATGCACGGCCTTCTTTCCCGGTTGGCAGCACGGATTTTTTTTATTCAAATTTTTATTTATTATATATATTATATTAGAATTTAGATATTATGTTGTAAATTAAAATTTATTATCTTACAGTTAAAATTTAGAAATTGTTAAATTATAAATTATAATTAATTATCTTATAGAATTTTATTATTATTATGTTAGAACTTATAAATTATTATGTTATATAACATAATATTAATTATCTCTAACAAAATACTAATGAGTGATGATATTAAAAATTGCAGTCCCCTTTTTTCTTAAATCCGCTCCTTTTCAACTCGGTAATAAATTTTAAATACAAAATAATATTATGACTTAAATTTGAAATTTATAAATACAAAATAATATTATGACTTAAATTGGAAATTTATAAATACCAATTTAAATAACAAATTGAACACAAAAAGTCGGATTCTGTTTGAGCAATTCATTGAGACCGATTAATTCAGTATGATTAGACCGAATTTTATAACAAGATTGTTTGACACTTTTCTCAGAGTTATATGATTCGTGTGAATATTATAGTAGAAAAAACATTCAAAGTAATTTATATGTACAATTTTTTTTCAAACTAATCAATTCGAAACCACATATAATTGCAATTTTTTTTGCCCGTTCGATAGCTTCTTCTGAAGTAGTAGTAATAAATTTTAATTTATAAGATAATAATCTATACTTATATAATAAGAATTAATCTTTTTCAAAATTAGTAGGTCAATTCTTAGTCAACATCCTGTCTGCATTAAATGTTTACTAAAATTAGTAACTTTTATGTCCTTTTCACACTTTTTTTTATGTCCTTTTCACACTAGATTATATAAATGAATGGATATTATCTCACCTTTCATTAATCTCACCTATATTTCATGTGAATTGATTGATTGCCTTTAACTTTTCAAAACGTGTGTTATCCATTGTTTATTACTATTATTATTATAGTATGCACGTAATCAGTTGATTAAATAAATTATATATTATTATTATTATACTCACCACGTGACAGTTAATTAAAATATATCTATACTTATATTAAAAGGTATACCATTTACCAGATTTAATATAAAGAAAAGTCAACAACATTTATTGTATTATTATTTCCGTATTATACAATCTATACTTATATAAAAAGAGATTCTATTTACTATACTTACTATCCAGAAAAGTCAACTGCATTAAATGTCATTACTATTTTGGTATTATAATATTTTATTTATTTAATTTTTTTATTTATTTGTTTTATATTAAAAAGGTAAGTATAATAAAAGGATTTTAATAATAAAAAAATTAAATACCAAATAAAAATGTACACTTTGACTTATTTGATTATATTTGGTATTTGATTATACCAAATATATTCCTATTTAGTATATACATTAAATACTTACTAAAGTATTTGTTTGTTTTATTTGTCAAAGTTAAGTATAGATTTGTTTATATTATCAAATCATAATAAAATATTAAATCCATATTGTAAAAAAAAAAAATCATATAATTTTATAACAATTCTACTACACTATTTAACAATATTTTTTTTATTATATAATAAAATAATAATTAAATATTATATGGTGAACAACAATAAGTAAAACTGTTACTTTCTCTTATATCAAGGGATAAATTTATATGCTA